AAAAAAAAGGCTCTGGGCTGGGCTCTGGATGAAACACGGTCCAGGGGGCGTAGTGTGTTTCAGGGCAGAAGATCAGCCGCAGCAGAAGAAGAAGAAGAACCTTCCATGCCTTCCTTCCCTCCTCCAGGATTGTCTTCCTTCCGCCCTCCCCCCCCTACATTTATTAATTTATTTGATTCACTACATAAATCCATAAACACATAAACTATCACCCTCATACATACCTCATGGTTTGTCCACTTTGAAACACAATCCACCAAGCTTCAGGGTCTGTTTGGAAGAGATGAACCCGTCCCCAGCTTTTCCAGGTTGGATTCCAACGGTTTGTGTATTCGATCAACTCCAACCCAGCCTTTACGGACCCCCGATCCACCCAACTACATCATCAGGTGTTTCACACATCGGGGATGAACTCTGTTTACCGAGTAGAAATAACCAAGTATAGCAACATCGCAAACCACTCATATTCCTCATGCAGTAAGTGGTCAGCAGTAAGCAAAGTACACATAGAAGCACAGTATTTTTCCGACTAACAGGATCAAAAGTACGGAGTACCGTACAGTACATAAAGATCTGACACGTCCAATTTAAGGTTGCATGTTGCATGCAGTCCTCCGTAGGTACAGGGCAGGACATATCAAACCTGCATACTCCGTAAGGTAGTTCGAGTCGCATACTTTTCCACTGCAGATGGGCGCAGCACCGAGTCCTGAGCCCTGAGCACAGCATCCCATCCCATCCCATCCCACCTTCCATCCAATCTAGCAACTGACCTCATACATGAAGGAAATTAAAACTAAGTCCCCTTGAACAAACTAAAAAAACAAAAAGAAAAGGAAATCAAGAACAACAATCTTCGAACACGAACACAAAACCCAACCACTCGAACAACTACTGTACATACCAAACATACGATGGGGCAAACACCCCCCCCTCCTCCACTTCAGAGTCAAGCTTCGGTTCATCCCCCCGCGGTAAAACCGTTCCAGATTTCCATCTAACTCCCGATCCATGGATAAGGTGTGGCTCCTTCTGCTTTCCCTTCTTCCCCATCAATTCGGGCAGGATCCATACATAGATTGCCCGATCCCCCCCCCCCCTCCCTTTCTCAGATACCTATGCAGGCAGTTCATCCGAATCCGGAGAATTCCGATCTCATGATCCCTGCTGCGAGGAGACCACTACAGTGGAGAGCCGAATTCCGAGCGTTTGAATCCGGAGTCGGAACCGATCTTCCCAATGATCTCGAACTCCTCGTTTGCGTTTCTGTTTGTTGCCCGGCCTCAGGATCCACTCGGTGGGAACCGGTTTAGAGGGTCGACTCGGAAGATGTCTCCATTTGGGGGCGGCGCGATGTAAGCTGCGCCTGAGCTGGGATGATATCACTCCGTTTGGAAGTACTCGTACTGCCGGGGTCCACGGTGGATGGGCTGTATACAAATGACTGCCAAACGAAACTGATCACAAAACATATCTGTCTGTCTTCGCGTTGCACCGGTGACGCCATCATCGACAGTCTTTCTCTTCTCTGCGTCTCTGCGTTACGTTGTTCCGCGTCACTCCGTCTTCAGCCTTTTCCATGGCTTTCGACCACGTCCAATGACCACGTCCGAGGGATTGGGTGGTTGGGTACAAAACATCTCCAGAAACTAGGGCCAATGATTTGTCATTTGTACGAGGAGTTAGTGGCTGCCTACCAGCTTATTCTGGCTGTGCCTCAGAAGAAACCGTACACGAGTGCCGGCATCAAACCCTGCCATGGGGGAAAAACAAGAAACATTTTTGAGCTAGGCAAGACATATCAAAGCACAAGATTCTGGCGGCGGATTACATTCCATATCCGCTCGGCGACACAAGACAAGAACCCGCTGGAAAACACTCAAACGTTCGGAAACTATGTAGGTTGATTAGTATAAGAAAAAGAAACACACAATTCGCAATCAATCAAAACCGTCATGGCCTATCCGGGAAAAAAAAGAAAGAAAGAAAAAAAGGTATCCCCTCCTTTTCCAGCCATCACCCAAGGCAAGGAGATCAATGCGTAAGAAAGGAAAAAGGGTTAAGAAGCACAGGGGAAATCGATGCGGAGAGACTGCACCAAGAAAATTCGGAACATCAAGGGTAAAGGACAAATGAAAACGTCACCAGGGTGGTTGGAACAAGGGGAATAAGACGGAGAAGGTGACGAGAAAAAGAATCAGAATGCCTGCAAATCAAATCTTGGTGATGGGCCATATTTGAGCCCATCGTCGCACTGAAGCGTAACAACCCCTCCAGAATCCCAATTATCAACAGCATTATTACAGTTCACCGCACCCGTATCCGAGTATTGTGGTTTTTCGTGGTTGTGTGTGTGTGTCTTGTCTGCCGTCCGGTTGTCCTCCTCACACACCTGCAGTAGTCAACGAGTGACGACAACACCCATTGCGGTATGTCTGCCACTCAACTGCCCCTTGGTTTTCGCTTCTTGTAACTGCGCCTGCAATCCGACTAGTGCATTAAGCAGGCGCGGCACTAAATTGCTCCTCAGTGAATGAAAGATTATCGTACAGTGGCGGACATGGAACCTAGTGGCGCAGAAAATGATTAAGGAAACTTCGAATGAGGACGTCACGAAAGACTTGAGACAGGGTATCTTTGCTGTTTTTTTTTGTTCGTTTTCTCGGATTACCAGGCCCACACCTTGAGCTACAGGATGAAATGTCTCAGTAACTTGTATCCCATCATTGGGGATCAACGGAATGACTTACCAAGGAATCCCAAGATCCGGTGCACAAGCTGATGCCATCGTTGCTGACTCCCAAGCAGCTCACACGGTTCTCGTGGCCGCTCAAAGAACCAACCTTATCACCACGCAGAACATCCCAGACCTACCGGCCTCATTAATCAACCATTCGAGAGTGAATTCATCCTGGATGTAAGACGTACCTTGCACTCGAAATCATCGTAACCAGCGAAGAGCAGTCTACCGGACACAGAAAATGCAACAGACGTGATACCGCACAATATTTGATCGCTCTGGATGTTGCGTTAGTGTCCGCTTCGGCCAGGGCAGGAATGGAAAATGAAATACCTGGTAGGTGTTCAATTCCCGATCCGCACGGATATCGAACAGACGGCAAGAGGTATCGTCGGAGCCGGTTCCGAAGGCGTTTCCGTCGGGGAAGAATTGAATGGCGTTGATGTCGGACTCATGTCCAGCGAAGGTCTGAACGGCCTTTCCGGTACGGATATCCCAGAGCTTGGCGAAGGCGTCGCAGGCACCGGAAACAAAAATGTTCTGGTTGGTGGGGTTGATGCTGATCGACATGACGTCGCCCAGGTGGTCGGCGAATTCGGTCACCTTAGAACCCGACTCAATATCCCACAGCATACAAGTCATATCTCCCGAGGAAGTGATGATTCGGCGATCGTTGATGAAGCGACAGCAAGAGAGATAACCCGAATGTCCGGAGAGCTCACGCGCGACCCGAGTCGGCCCTTCACGCGAGGAGAGGTTGTAAATGGAGCAAATGTTATCCAGACCACCGCAAGCAACGTAGTTTCCGCTGGGGGCGTAAGCGCAAGTCATCACCCATGATGACCGCAAGGGAATCGCATGGACCTTGTTCGTGGTGTAGGCATCCCAAATGATGAGCTTTCCGTCCTGTGAGGCGGAGACGAGGTGGCGGCGATCAGTCGACCAATGCATGGCGTAGATCTTAGCCAAGTGGCCCTTGAGCGTTCGACGGGGCTTCATTCCAATGCGAGGTAGAGTTTCGGTCTGGTTTTGCGCCACTTGGCGGACTGTTTCACCGAGGTTAGTATCCGAGAGGCATGGCATGGTACAGGTTGCGCCCTTGGCGAGCTTTCAAGTCGGGTCACCCGATCAGGGACAGCGACGTCTGTGAGGGAGAGGAATGCGTACGAGTGGTGTCTGCCAGCTCATCCTTTCTGCGCTTGATCTTGTCCTTGAGACCCTCGGCTTCGCGCCGGGCCGCAGTGATCTTGGCCTGCATCTGTTCGCCGCTCATATCGGCTGCCATCTTGACCAAACAAGCCCCTGGAGAGGGTGGGTGTCAATGGGATGACGAAACGGGTCTAAAGAGTGGAATTGAGTTGGCCGAGGCGGGCGTCGGAAAATCCAGGGGACGGGTTGAGATGATCGAGGAAGGAGGGGGGGGGGGGGGGGGGGGGGGGGGGGGGGGGGGGGGGGGGGGAGGGTAGGGGGGGGGGGGGGGGGGGGGGGGGGGGGGGGGGGGGGGGGGGGGGGGGGGGGGGGGGGGGGGGGGGGAGAGGCGCGAGCGATAAAGGGCGCTAGAAGAGAGAGAACGAGAGAAAAGATGGATTAGTGGAGCGGTGAGGTAGTCGGTGGTGGTCGTGGTGGTAACAAGCAAGGTCGGCAGGAGGAGGGAGGGAAGAGGAGGAGTAAGAGGAGGAGCAGGAGTGGAAGAGAGAGAGAGAGAGACGGAGAGAGAGTGAGTGAGTGAGTGAGTGAGAGGGAGAACGAGGAGGGGGGTTGATTGGGTGTGGAGCGAGCACACGGCGGAAGCGACCGAGCGAAAGAAAGTTTCGACCCGGGGCAATGGTGAGGTGGTTCGGGCGTTTAAGTCAGCAGGGGTGGTGGAAAAGAGAGAGGATAGAAGAGAGGAAGAAAATGGCCCGAATGGTGATTAGGAATCAAAGGAGAAAGTGGAAGAGAGAGAGTGAAGAAAGTCGACTCTCTGTGTTGAAAGTGTGAGAGAAAAGGGGAACTGGAACCAGAGACAAGAGAGGGAAAGGCGAAGACGGAGAAGGATGCAGAAAATCCCACCCCCCCCCAAAAGCACAGATGAAGGACAGTAACTTAAGTTAGTAGGTTAGTTAGTAGTAGTGAAGTAAGTTCAAGTTAGTGGCAGACGGTAGAAGCAACTCGGTCATGTCCTGTCTGTCATCAATAGCAGCCCGTGGTAAGAAAGAGCACCAATGATAAGAATGTATAGTAAGGGAACTATTGGGGTTGAGCTGGCCTGGACTAGATAGTTACTACAGGTACTCTCTAACTACCACTGTGTCTACGGAATACAATTCTACATGTATGATGTATATGTATATGTATAGTCAGTTAAAAAAAAAAAGTAAGTAAAGATGTATGTCAATATACGTATTGGGTAAGAGATGATCCTTCCACCGGGGAAAAAAAAAGTGAGAACAATGGGGACTGTGTCCATCTTTCTGGTGATGCATAATAGAGAACCAGCCGGTTAGGGGAAGCTGGGCGACAATAGGTCCTGTACGTACGACGGAGACAGGCGGGACTCTAAGAGAGCCTCCTCCTGCCTGCTGGTGAACTTTTCCGTCTAGCACTACCGTATGTACAGTATGTACAGTATGCGTACTGTACATACGATACTGATAGCTGATCTTAATCTTACGCAACCATACCACCCCGACATCCTGGGTTCGCAGGACACTCCATCATTGGACCACAGCCTCGTAAAATGTTGTTTACGAGTCAATTAGGTCATCAGTCAGACACAGTTCGAGACGTATGATACGGTCGCTTACGCGTAGGGTAATTGATGCCAGGCTTTCAGGGGAGAACTCCCACATCCCAGTCTAGTCTAGGACGGTAACTTCTCCGCTGAGGGCAAGGTACCAAGTTCCGTGGAGGAGTTCATTGAACACTAAGGAGGTGCACCCTGGTCAGGCCGGTGGAGTCAGGCCTGCTGAGTCTCTTCTGGTTGGCCCATAGCTCACAACTGCTCGCCAAGTGGAGGATGTGCAGGACGCGAAAGCAAGCAGGCGCGGAGACCAACAATGCAGTGCGGGATAGTGAAAGAAAGACAAGGAGACTAAGAAATGATGAAAGAGAAAAAGAGAGTTGAACGTGTCACTTGGAAGAAAGCATTGTGTTGGCAGGAATCGATTCTCCGGATCGCGAATGGCAAGGCGTCATGTTTGATCCCCTTCCAGTATTTAGTCGCCAGAACTTGTACATTTTAGTACAGAAGATGATGTCGATGGTAAGACAGTCTTAGGCTTGCCCTGGACGCTAAAAGCCTCTAACTATCGCACTCCACGCTGTTTGTCCAGATACTGAACAGGCTCCTGTCTACATGACGATTCATAAACTCGCTGAAGGCAAATTGACGTGCGCAACCATTCTTCCACATTGCCGGTAAAATTAACCGCACTACGAGGCGAGGCAGATCCATACATGCTTCGCACGAGTCAGGGTTTCTTTCCTGCTCCGACGAGACTCTCGGAAGTGTACAGTACAGTCCACATCAATACACAATGCACCTAGGTTGACGAGCCTCGGGAGTGGCGATCCCTTTCGTGCTCTGCTAAAGCATTATTCCGGAGCTGTCTCTTGATGGAAATAAGCATCCGCATTCGAGAAGGACCACGTTGGGAAGTATCACCTGATGCCGAGAGTCGTGATCACTTCTCACATCCAGGGGCTTCGGACATTACGGGTGGTACCTGGCTCAGTGGTACCTACTGGTATCAATCATACCTACCGAGAATTCAGCGCGGTGAAATACCATTAGGCAAGTCCCTAGCACCGAACTAGGTTAGTCTGCTCGATTAGACTTTTCCATCTCTATATTATTATCTCTCTGCTTGTTCCATATTTCTTCGATTCCTTGACTAGATGACTAGACTATCCGAATCTCCGATGATGGATTAATTGTTCTTTGGAACCTGAGAATTGATCGAGTCCGCGGAAGACTCCCGGATTAGAAACTGCAAGGGAAGATCCGAACTGAAAGTCAGATGCGGCCACGGATCTCAAGACTTTAAGATTGATGTTCCGTCACTTAGAGATCTTCATCATTTTCCGTCGAGGCTGGGGGGGGGGGGGGGAAAGGGAGTAGGATGGCCCATCCTTGGTGCCTTCCGTGCAGGACGTTCTCCATCCCGGCTATCCCGTGAATCCGAACGCTTGCGGATACTTCTGAACTTCTGATGTACGTATTATGTATACTGCACCTAATTTGTACTGTAGAGATGGCCATCATCCTTCAACAAGTCATAACAGTCTGCGATGTCTGTCTCTTCTTTTGATTTGATCCTTGGATTTCTAGAAGGTGGTTTACTCAATCTGAATCCCTCCCTAAATTCTCTAACCAACAACTCACTAGGGACTGTGGCTACTAAATTACGGACCAACTCTTGTCGTTGCGTCGAGCAAGGCTACTGGTTGTTTAATTTGAAGTTTCCGTGATGATAGAATCCACATACGTCAAGATATTACAGAATCTGACTCCTCTTTTTTCAGAGTTGATCCTGAGTACTCTCAATTGACCCCCTTGTTTGCTAGGATTTCGATTCGGTCATCCATGATCGCTGTTACGTGTCTTTCGTATCGTCTTGCTCACTGCCCAGATATCTGCCACCTCTTACATACGTCGGTTGGCAGGCAGAAATAATGGAGCGGGATCCGCGACACTGATGGTCAATGTGCGTTGCGGCGGGTCACCAGGCCGCAGGGAAATTGGCCACTACCTGTTACGGTCAAATACTTCACAGGTGCGGGCTGGGTAAGAGCGTAACTGACGAACTGTTGTGGTTATTCGTTGTGTTCATCGTCTATCTGGAGAAAGTGGCTCCACTGTTAGGATGATCGCTTGAAACCGTGCCTGACTAACTACTCGGCTGCCCCTCTTTGCCAAAAGGTCTTCATTTATCACGCTTACTAATGGGGTCGCCCCTGATGAGCGAACGAAACAACTACTCGGACGAGTAACTACACCTACGTTTTGCGACCTGTGAAGGACTTGAATTCTGCTTACGGGTGAAATCCATCGGATTCTCTCTCGCCTGTTGTTAACAGTGTCCGGCTGATCATGTCAAATGTTCCGGATTTGACAGCTTCTTCCCAGCAAGTTGACAGGCAGGTGTGTCGCGGAGTTATCGGATATGCAGTTATCTGTTGCAATCGCCCCCACTCTTCAATTCTGTACATTACAAACATTATAAGTCTATAGCACAGGAGACTAGCCCCCGAGTCTTCAGCCTCTGGACTTTTGGGACGGTTTCCTTTTACATAAAGATGCATTGGTAGTGAGCCAACGAACGCATCCCTTCCCATTGGCAGATCAAGGGATCCTGTCCGCTCGGATACCCAGGGATCAATTGGATAAATGCACGTCAGCCTCGGTAAGCCCCAAGTATGAGGCACGATTGGCACGATTACAATGTCGGGTAGGGTGCATATCATTGAATCCAAGCTGCGGCTGTCGAGCCACATCTACCATTCGCATTGCCTGGACCAGGCTTCCTGCGGTGGAAGGATTCCAAGCCCTGCCGAGATTGGCAGCTCAGTATTGGCTCTAATACGATCAGTTGCATCTCCCTGCTTGATGGATCTACACGCGATGGTGTCTGCGCAGAGCAGATGGCTACAGAATATCCGCGATCATCAACCATTTCTTCTGTCATAGCTTACGTCTGATCGCCCATCCCAGGGTTCCAGGTTTTGTGTGCATTAGGCATATGTACATATACTGGAGTGTGTCGCTCCTTATCCGCACGCGGGCGATAACTTTCACCTACGTCAGTCGAGTCAGAGGACTGACTTGCCGCCTGCGCCCTCACGTTCTCGACACTTCCACGGAGAGTACACGATTACTTTCCGCCCAAGGATCTACTCGCACCATGAATAATAACCCTCGTGTCAAGGAAGTCGAATCTGAGACCCCTCGTCTTGAAACATATGCATAGAGGCAAGAATATCCTTCCAGAAACGCCTCCGCGCTTAAATGTGCTATATATAGCCTCGAATGAAGCACATCTCGAAGGTGACATCAATTAAACTTGAAACGAGAAGCAAAGCCCTATTACAACTCAAGGTCGGGGTACAGGTACATGGATCAATTCAAACTCGATCAAGCGCGTAATGCAATGTGAGTGTATCTGGGACATCCCCCAAACTCCCCGACCGCGATGGCGGTTAAACCAAGCCAGGTTTTTTTTTTGGGTCAAGGTGATCGGGTTTGACGGCAGCGGTTCGCGCCTCTAGAGGCAAAAGAAGGCAACGCCGCCGCCGCCGCCAGCCCAGCGGGATGACGGGAAGGGGAGGGGAAGAAGGGCACGGAGTTTCTAATCATAGAATTACTAGGTACCTTGTTCACTACCTAGTGAGTGACTAGACTAGATTATAGATTCCAAGTACTTGTACATGAATACTTTTTTAACTTGTACTTTG